GTTCGGCAGTAATAGTATTTCCATTCTTCCTGTTATTGTCCGCAAAGGGGGTTGGAGTGGTGAGGAAGAGGGAGACGACGAATGCGAGCCCGAAGCTTTGCCGAGTTTTGCCGAAGCGCACGCTGCATTGGCGAAAGTGAAGTTGTTCTTTTATGCGCTTAATATTAGTGAACGTGACGAGGAAAACACTTTGAACGTGGAAAGTGCTCTGTTTGGTCTAAAACGTAAAGTTTCGACAAACCAGTTGTCCACTAAAGACTTTTTTGGTAAAAAGAAGTAACTTTGAAAGAGAAACATTGTTTTTTTTTTAAATTTTTAATGCTTTCCCGCATCTATCGTTTTCCCGCATTCATCGTTTTTATTTCCCACCCCCGCCGAAAACGATGCATCGAGGTTTCACTGTAGTAAGTGTACGTAAAACTCAATTTCATTGACAGCTGAGATGTAGGAAGGTTAGGTTAGGTTTAGTGACTGTCAGGAAATATACATGTACAGACGTTCCAGGTTCATACTGTGGACTTACGTTCTCATTTCATCTGCTTCCTTTTCTTCTTCTTCCTCTTTGGTCATGATGTGGACTGGACGGGATCGCAAATGTGACCTCAAATTTGGAGAATAAGGAACAGTTGAATTCTTCTTCATTGTGTTGCCCTTCCTATGTTGCAGACTTACATTTGGGTTAACTGCAAAGATATTGTCATTAATTACCACACAATTCTGTAGCACTGCACTCCTCAGCTCAAACAAATTACGTGAGGAACATCTTCAGTGTGAGACATCCTTTGGTAAATGCTGTCTTCTAAAACAGGGGCTGACACTTAGAAATTCATAAAACACCACGTTCAATTATTCTTGAAGAGATGGAACATTTAATTATTTTACAGAATAAATCATTCTATCAGAGGGAAAAACCCCTGTGGTTATAGACCTCGTGCCCTTACATTTTGAAGCGGGTTTTCACCTTAGAAAATTTTATTTCATTTAGTCGCCACAAAAGCCTCAAGTCTTATATACATTGAGGTTTTTACACAATTTCCAAATTTGTAACATTATTATTATTATTATTATTATTATTCCATCTATTCACCATTTTACAGGGTATTTACTTCCATGTGCCCAAGACAAACCTTGCCCCTGAGGTACGTAGTGCAGCTGCTATTTCCGAAATACATTTTGTTTTTAATACGTGTTATATTCATTATATATTTTATTGTTAGAGAGGACTACATATTTTACGACAGCGTCTTTCGAATAATGTATCAAGATCCTAAAATGGCAGTTTTCTGAAGTTCCCTGATGTCGTGTTCGCCCGGGATGTTGGCCAAATATTTCCTGAGTGACCTGGAGACAGTTCCAGTTGCGTGAAAAGGAAATCGTACGCACTGAAGTCCATCTTCCAGGCTTACCAGTATGCTGTGTTGGCAAAATGCTACTGAAATCTCAAAACTTTGCACTCCATTCCCCAAAGGTTTCATCTGTGGATCTCCACAGTACATTCATTGAAACGTCCTTCATACTAGAACAGACTTCAGCATGCTCTGCGCTTTCAATTACAGTCTCCATCGTACTGAGGACACATGTCACAGGAGCAGTGTCAACTTGCTAACAAAAACTCTTTGACATTACATTCATTCCTGTGTCAGATGCAGTCATGTATTTACATTGTTTATAGCCTTTTAAAAGATTTGAGTCTGTAATGGGACACCGCATACGGTGCCATAGGACATGTAGTTGATTACACGACAACTCCTCTCTGCAGTAACAAGTCAGAACAGTACAACCAAAACAAATGGTAACTTGCATACTATCATCTGGCCCACCACTACACAGCGTAGGTGTAGCATGAAGAGTCTACTTGACCCTCATTTCTGAAATATGAGTCTGTAAAAACATACCGCACGGCTAGAAGAAATCCCTCGACTGTTACCTCAAAGCTAACAATAAAAGTAACCCTACAAGAGGAAGAGAACTGTCGTGTCAGACATTAATATTACAGATACAAAATTATAGAGTAAGGAAAGGATGATGTGATATGTGTCTGACATGCAAACAAGAACAATTACGTAAAAAAATAAATTACATGCAAATGATGGAATATGAAGCAAAAGAACTGAAGACTTCTGAACTGCGAGTCTCACTGAAGATCCTGCCACATGTACAATACTTTGTACCTAAAATATTCTTAAATCTTATAAATATTCTTCATTACCATGAAATTTCTTACCTGTTCTAGGCTTTGAATGGAAGCGGTTTGGAGTATCAGTCTGGAACCGACATACCGCTTCAGCCATGCTGATGAATTTTGCTGGCTGACAATTCTGAGTCATTGGCGACCCTTTCCTTTTGGCACTGCATGAGCTGAGCACATCAGACACCTTAACCTAGGAGTAATATCGGTCACGATCAATAGTACGAAGACCATCTGCACAACTCCCAACAGCTGAAATGCGCAGTTGCAATCGTTGCCCTTCTCCACACCGCGTCTGAAACGCACTTCACTGCCCCAAAGCAAACACAGGAACACACGAAACCCAGTTCTCGCATGTCAATCCTAACATTCAGGTAGTGTCAAACACTCCTGTACAAACTCCGTTCTGTTCTACTGTCCTCTATATACAATGCCGCTTTAGGGTGTTCTGTTAATAATGAGCCAAACAGGATTCTGCAAGCGCATTATGATTCAAATCACTGGCACAACAATGTTATTTTACTGTTTCATCAATCCAGTGGAAAAAGTATTTTCTCTTAAGCTAATATTACACCAAATATAAATACAAGAACAGGCCAAGGATAATAATAGTATAATAATGCAGAAAGAAAAATACAAATCAAGCCATTAAAAATGTCATACGAATTAAAAATTTGTAACTAAAAGTAAGCAGTAAGCAGTAACCAGTACAAAAATCATGAATGATAAAAAAATCCCTAGGTGAGGAATGACGACTATTAACGAGAATCCGCTTAAGCTTCCTTTTAAAGAATAATTTATTACTAACTTATTTAACATAAGCAGGGAGTTTATTATAAAATTTACATCTGCAACGGTCAGTCTGCTATTACAGATTTCCAATTTATGAACTTACTGGCGATAATCAAAGCAAAATCAAGTATTACGGACACGCAAACTTATCATCAGTCATACAACTACACTTACCTTTCACGAATAAAAGTATTTCATAAATATATAATGAAAATAGATTTAAAATATTCAAACTAATAAAACCTTCTCGGCATGAGTCGTTGGTAAGCTTCAGCCCTGCGTCTAACTACTTTTTTTAATGTAAAAACTTTTTTTATACTTCTTTTCGCCGTTTCCCCATAAAGTGAAAGTAAATCAAAGATGCTGGCACGCGGAACCATAACAAACCGCAACCAGCACATCAAAATCAACCACGTTTGATAATCTCGTGCTTTTTCTTCTAATGCTTATAATTTGCATACTAATTTAACCACCAGAGAGCAAAAACTTTCAGCTTTCAACAAATATGTAGCGTAAGCTATCACTTAAAATGATACAGCTGAACTGATCAAAAACAAACAAGAAATCAGTAAGTTTATAGTTTAGATGCGTCATGTTTGTGTTCAAAATTCAAATATATATTTATTATTCAAGTCTATACACAAACTTTTAAATTGTTGATGTTAAAATTTAAAATTCACCAGTAATATTCTGCGCCATTCATCGTTATCTCGATGTTACAATATTGCGCTATATATTACTACATGTTTCAATGTCATAGCATCATCTTCAGGTTTTTTTATCTTTAAAACTACTCTATATTTATTAATGCAAAATATGTTGTTGACATTCACCTGATCAGATGGGGACACACTGCACATCAAACTCTTGAATAATGAACAAATAACATAATATGCAACATAATATGCAAAATAATAAGATCAAAGGAACACCCACAACAGTAATCTACAATCAATGAAAAGCGTGCATTAATAAATATAGAGTAGTTTTAAAGATAAAAAAACCTGAAGATGATGCTATGACATTGAAACATGTAGTAATATATAGCGCAATATTGTAACATCGAGATAACGATGAATGGCGCAGAATATTACTGGTGAATTTTAAATTTTAACATCAACAATTTAAAAGTTTGTGTATAGACTTGAATAATAAATATATATTTGAAGAAATCAGTACTAAACTGGCTGAAAGCAGGCAACCAACAAGTCACCGACTCTTCGAGACAATGATTTAAAACTGTTAAAATTCGAGATTACTTACTTTTGTCGCAGACACAGCACCGTTCCCATACAACGCTGATGTATTCTTCCTATCAGATGCCATCCAAAGATTTTTCATTGCTAAGCTGTAACAGTAAACATAAAAGTGCAAAGAAAGAAAGGGAAAAACAGTATATAAAGGATGGATGGCGCTAAAGCTCCGTGCCTATACCCGGCCGCCGGAAGGCAAAGGCGTGTAAGCTGAAGCCCCGGCGAGTAGGAGGGCGCGGCGGTGTGCGCGGAAGGGTCAGGGCGCGAGCCCGCCTGGAGCCGCCGCCGGTGCAGATCTTGGTGGTAGTAGCTGCACCGCTCGATATTAGAAACACAACGCATTTTAAACACGTTCTAATCAATTAAAAATCTTTGTTCCCAGAACCTGAACGTTCTACATAGCATAGCACAGATGCCTGACACCAGACCCAAAAGATGAATTACTTAAATCCAATTCACATTAACAAAAGTTCTTAAACTCCATTTTCAAGTTACCTTTGCACGTCTTACACGTTTCGTTGCTCTACAGCGGTTTTTCCACCTAACTTCTCTATTTATTTTGCCCCATTCATCTACAAATACAGACAATCTATGTTAACGTTAAGAGAACAAATTCCGAATCATACTTTTTTTTTACTCTACTCCTGAATTTGTAAACTAAACCAAACCATTTATAATCTTCATTTTGTGAATTACGATACATTTCATTTATTACACGTGAAGAATGGTGTATTCCTGCACGTGTGAATACTCGACAATCGCATATGATATACGCGCACGATACAAAACATACCTGCCAATTTGCTGAAAAAATATGATTTATTCAAAACCTATTTACACGTAATATTCCTGCCTCGAAGTAGAATGTGAAATCAACAAAACTGTAGAAAACTGCAGTATACATTTAACAGGCACGTTTTGCATAATAAATTATGAATGACGTTCAATGCCTTTAAAATTACTCATTACAACAAGAAGCAAATTAACAGAACAAAACAAATTTGACTTCAACTCGGTCAAGACCTTCCTCCCATTTTGCCTTGTGATCCTTCGCTGAAATAACAGACACACTTGTTTCATGCAGAATAACGTACGACATCAAGAAACTGCCGAAAATGTATTAGCGTCGTAGATGCCGTTGGAATCAATTCTATAATGAATGTTTATCCGAGTAAGCTAAAATCCATTTATGCAAGCTGTCCCACTACGCCCC